TAAAAAAAACAAACTAAAAATATTCTTAAAAGGCATAAAACATGCCAAATAATTAATAATAGTCCAAGAAGCTTGTACTGGGAATTTGGTTACAGACATATCAATTTCACAGGAAGAAACTGTTGTCCCTGGGATGAGTGCAGGTAGGGCAGCAAGAGTCGGTCAGTACTGAGCACGCGGGGCTGCTTTCATTCCCTTTTCTCCAGGCTAGGATAGGTCTCAGAGAGTGGGGCTTGATAGAACCTTCAGAAGCATTTGAAGCAGCCTCAGCCCCAGAGGTAAGAATTGCCAGGGCAGGGTGCTGAGCATGTCACTTGGGCATCTTGGACCCAATCTAAAGTCCACTGTGAAGAAATGGTCTTTGTTAGCATCTGCTTCAGTTTTGAGAGAGTTTGAGATAGACTGAAAATACCTCCTCAACTGAGAATTTGAGAATATGTACAGTATTCATTGGGTCTTGTTTTATGTCACCCCAGTTCCTGAAGAAAAATGTCCTACTTTTGTTGACTGCACAAACGAAACATTTGTGTTTTTTTCTTTCTATGATCACTTTGTGCCATATTGAAGCTTTCCCCCCTCTATCCTCAGTGTTGTATCCCAGAACAAGTAATACTTATTTTAGGTAATCCCTTCTCAGAGTTAATTCTTTGGTTTTCTACACTATAGCACCTTCCCCAGGAGTTGGATGGAAACCTTTATCTTAGGGTCTTGACCATATGTCCCCAAATATCTTTCATAGTCTTTCCCTCAGGGACTGAGTGCATATCATGCAAATAAGAACTATGTGAGCTCCCGGAGTTCCGGATGTGGATATGCAGATTACTTGGTGATGCATATACATTTTTCATGGAATTGACTAATTAATTAAGCCATCAAACATTTTTTGAGTGTCTCCAATGTGCTAGTCACTGAGGATACAAAAGTGAAAAAGTTACAGTTTCTGTCTTCAAGATATTTATGGTCCAATTTGAGGAGATGAGTTCAGAAATCCTTATAAAACGTGGAGATTATAGGGGAACCAGTGACAGGGGCTTACTTAGCCAAGATTTGGGGGAGATGGGAAATTTGGTAAAAGCTTTCACTGTGTTTCCTGAACAGTTTTTTTTTTCTTTATAATACATTTTGTCTTTATTGTATAACTTACTTTTGTAGACTTTATAGACTGCCTAGGCTTTCAGTACACATATGTTGATGGTGAATTATATGGTCTTACAGTATTACTGATTTATTATAGTAGCTGCAACTCGAAATTGGAATTAAATGTTAAACAGCTT